CTTTCTGATTTTCCCTGCTGGTTGTTCTTTCAAGACGTAGCTTCTGTTCCTCTAGCTGCTCCAGGCTGATATGCTTATCCTTTCAAGTGGGAATGTCCCATCTCAGAAGATTCTGGATGGGGCTCAGAATTCCACCTAAGGTCCTATACACTACGAAGCCTCTGCAAGAAGCCTATTTCACTGGGCAAGTTCTAGAACTCCTTTTAGGTATTTCAATGACTTATAGGCTGAAGATGGGCTTACAAGCTTTCTGTCATCATGTTATCCAATAATAGATTTGTTTGTTCTTCTAGAAGTCCATGGAACTTTTAATATTCTGCTCAAGAACTGTAACTCAAATGCATCAATTATTTTATAGTCTTCCTTATTCACTGTTCAAATTTGACATGCATATGAAGCTATTGAAAATACTATGGCTTGGGTTAGGCATACCTTGGTCCTCAAACTGATATCTTTGCTCTTCAACAGTTTAAAGAGTTCTTGTGCAGCTGACCTCTTAAGACAGGAATTATAAAAGAAAATGGAGCAAAAGAGAGAAAAGCTGTTAACAGTCTGCTAATAGTGAATCTTGCTTGCATAATTTTTGGAATAAACTCATTAGCTTTTTGCCAATTAGTCCTCGAGTAGGCTACCTAGCAGGATCACAAATGAAACTATTTCAATTGTTTGTGCATTCTCTGGAAAATCTAGAGTATAGTTATGGAGAAGACTCTTGTGTCAGGCACTTTGTGCAATGCCTACTGTGTCTTTTCATCAGCCCCTCCACCTTAGTTAGGCCAAGTCTGCCCTACTCATTCTCACAAGAAGTTATCCATATATGTAAGGCACTTAGCACAGTGCCTGATATATAGTAAGCAGCATTAATATTTTTAGGTAGTTTAACTGTCAATGACAGACGACAAAAGCGTTATATGTGTGAGATTTAAACTGGTAACACTAAATTTCAGGATGAAGGGCAGAAGAGAGATACGTGCAGGGAAAACATTACCTATCTTGTCAGCCTAGACTCTGGAAGTTCTCAACCTGGACTGGAAGTGGTCTAACTTTAACTACATAATAACATGGAGTTTCTGTATTACATTGATTATTGCACTCAGAAGTTTCATACGTGTGTGTTTGGTTGGCAGGAGAACTACAGGCACCCTTAAATGAGAAGATTAAGTTTTACAATCAAAAGTATCCAGGACTGCTGAAAATAGTACGACATACTGAGAGAAAAGGTCTTGCTCAGTCACGCAACACTGGCTGGGAAGCTGCCACAGCTGATGTAGTCGCCATCTTGGATGCTCATATTGAAGTCAACATTGGATGGTAAGAAATTTCTTCTTCTGGGGCCAGGGAGAAAGGAGATACTGTACGTTTACTGAGTACAAAAAGGAATATGATGGAAATAGGAAAAGTCAATAAATGTAAGGAAAATTAACAAAAGGAAGTTCAAAAGAGAGAATGCTTTTATTTAGGATTTTGATTGGCTCAGAGAAGTCATCTCGTGTTAGAGAAAAAACAAAAGCAATGACCTGGGAGTAATGACAGCTGGATCCTGGTCCTGACTTTGCCAAATATTTTGTGACTTTGAGAAAGTTACTTCATCTAACTAGACATTTGTGTCTTTAGCTGTCAAATGAAGAGATTGCCCTTTCATAACTCCCAAGATTTTTCCTGGCCCTGACATTATGTGATATAAAGAGAGCTCTGTTCTTTGGAAAATATGAAGAATCACATAAGAGATATTATTTTGAAAGCAGAGAGACCTGAGACATAACATAAACTCAGACAGAATTGTAAAGGTCCTGGCTCCCAGTGGCCTGGGGTTGGTACTTGGGTCTTCAGTTCTAAATCTGGTTTTGACATGAGTCAGTTGCTAGAATGCCCAGGCTGCCTAGGAACTGCTGAGATTTTCTGCTAGATTTTCAGCTTAGCTGTGTCAGGGTAAGGTGCTGCCAATGGTTTTGTTTGCTTGCCTGCTCTCACATCCAAACTGGGCTTGCTACATTCCCGTCTTCTAGGGCAGAGCCTATCTTGGCTCGGATTCAGGAAGACCGCACCGTGATTGTGTCTCCAGTGTTTGACAAAATACATTTTGACACCTTCGAACTGAAAAAATATGGATTGTCAGCTGATGGGTTTAACTGGGAGCTATGGTGCCGCTATGATAGTCTGCCACAATCCTGGATTGATCAGCAAGATGCCACTGCACCACTAAAGTATGTCTGGAGGAACATGATTAGTATATGTGAAGGCAGAGTTGAACTATGTGTTTGTTTATGTGGTAGTGTTGGGGGTTGGTGAAAGAAGTGACGGGGTTGGGGTGGAGGATAGGGCATAGGGGGCAAAATTCAGTTCTAGATAAGAAGTCCTGGTGGGGTGTTGTTGGACAAACACATGACTACAATGGTGGTTTGAACCACAAGGTAGACGCTTCAAACTCACCAGTTGCTCCTCAGAAACCCTATATTGGGTTGCTCTGAGTTGGAATTGACTCCATGGCACGTAATAACAACAACAGTTCCAGATAAAGAATCACGGACACCTTCAGCTGTTTACTGACTTTCAGGCAAAATGAAGGAAAGTATCTAACATTTGACATTGAGGAAGAGGGGCAAGATTAATTTCACAAGTAGAGTTACCAAGATGAAAAGACGTACTTTCAATATAATTCTACAAGGGTGACAGAACAGGGAGTGAGGGAAGGTTGCCTGTACTTAGTTCAGTTTGAGGATTTCGGAAGGACCTTCAGGATGAGAAGAGATGTTGGTAGGATTTTTATCATTTTTGCTTATGTGGTAAAAATATACTCAGCAATTCAATAATTTCTGCATATAAAATTCAGTGACATTGATTATATTCTTTAAGCCATGCAATCATTCTTGGCATCCTTTTCCAAATTATCCCACCCCCATTAACAGAAACTCGTTGTCTCCTAAGCTAATACTCTCCCCCTTAACCCTTCCCTCAGCAACTCATAGTTTTTGGTTTCTATGTATCTGCTTACTTAATATTAATGAGATCGTATGATATTTGTCCTTTTGAGACTGACTTATTTTGCTTAGCATGATATTTTCAAAGTTCCCTCATCTGTGCGCTGCTGTGCATCCTTATGGTTGAGTAGTATTCCATTGTATGTATATACCACATTGTGTTTATACATTTCATATCCAGATAGAATTTTGAAAGTCACACCATCATTGGGCTACCCAAACTTCCCCTCTATCCTGATCTGTTCCTCATGGTTGTTGTTGTTAAGTGCCTTTGAGTTGGTGCCGACTCATTGTGGCCCTGTATAGAGTTTCTGAGTAGTGGCTGGTGGGTTTGAACCACTGACCTTGCAGTTAGTAGTCTGGTGCTTATCCTACAGCATCACACCAGGATTCTTGTTCCTCATAGAAGGGTTGATATCTCTTGCTGTGTGCTCTACAGAAGCCCTTCCATCATGGGTATCCTGGCTGCCAACAGGCTCTTCTTGGGAGAGATTGGGGTCCTGGATGGTGGAATGCTGGTCTACGGTGGTGAGAACGTGGAATTAAGCCTGAGGGTGGGTATATTTTCCTTCTATTTATGGGGAAAGCAGGAGGTGTAAGAGGAGAATCTCTGGAATCTAGGAGCAAGACTGAATGTTCTTGGCTGTGTGGTTATTAAGTGCCATCATGTCACTTGGATTAAGGAGAAATTGGCTATAGCATTTCTAGGGTGAAGCATTCTATTTTATATATATATATATACATATTTACTCTTAGTGTGGTATTGTAAGCTTTGGGCTGAGTGCATGGCAAGGGATTGAGGTGAGGTTCAGCAGATGGTCTCCATATTTCCCCTGAGGGCTTCACACATTTTGTCAAGCATCTTCTGGAATAAGCCAATTTTGTGGCAGACAATTCTCTGGAAGACTGTGATGCAAGCTGCTTTGTTAAAGATAGTGAAAAACCTACTCCTGTGTGGACAGCTAGAGCAACTGACAGCATGAGAAAATTTGAGCTGATTTGCAACCTAGTCTAGGACAAATAGCCAGGGAAAGGAAGTCCAGCACTGAAATCCTTGAACCAATTCTAGTTCTGATCCACTTACCATGTATCTAGGACCATGTTGGCTTTGCTTGAGCTGTGCTGCCTCTCCTCTGCCCTAACTGCTCTCCATACTTGCTTGTCTTAGATGAACAACTTGGATTTTAGAGTTCTTGAAGGGAGTTCAGAGGCATTGGTGGTTCCGTGGTTAGAATTCTTACCTTCTATGAGGGAGAGCCAGGATCTGTTCCTGGCTAATGCATCTCATGCATAGCCACTGCTTGTCTGCCCGTGAAAGCTTCTGTGCTGTTATGATGTTCAACAGGTTCAGATGATCTTCCAGACCAAGATGGACTAAGGGGAAAAATAGGTCTGGTGGTCTATCTATGAAAATCACCAATGAAAATCCTCTGAATCACAATGGCCTGACCTGAAACCAATCATGGGAATGGCGCTGCACCAAGTAACATTTTGTTTTGCTGGGCATGGGGCCACCATGTGTCAGTGTCTGATGTCACAGCAGCAATAAGGAAATTTAAGAAGCAAATTAAGACGGCTTGAGAAATTTCAAGTGCAGGTTCATCTTATTGGTTAGCTATTGCCACAAAAATGCTGAATGACAAATCACTCCAATCTCAGTGGCTTAACACAATTTTTTATTATCATAGATCTTCAGGTTTAGCTGATCGTGTATGATGGTAGTGGTGGTTGTATGCTGTGAAGTCGGTTCCAACTGTGTATAGGATTTCCGAGGCTGTAAATGTTTATGGGAACAGAAAGCCTCATCTTTCTCCCTTGGACTGACTGGTAGATTTGAACTGCTGACCTTGTGATTAGCAGCCCAACTTGTAAGTGATTGGAATGAAAAGTTTGGAAAAAAGAGTATCAGTAGTTGGAAATATGGTCTTGGTGATAGAAATAATGCTGGAGGTCAAATAATAGAATTTTACAAGACCAATGACTTTTTCATTGCAAATACCTTTTTTTTTTTTAACATAAAAAAGGTAACTATGCATGTGGAGCTCACCAGATGGAATACTCAGGAATCAAATTGAGTACAGCTGTGGGAAGAGATGGTAGAAAAGCTCAATATCATCAGCCAAAACAAGACCAAGGGCAGACTGTAGAACAGATCATCAATTGCTCATATGTAAGTTTAGACTGAAGCTGAAGAAAATTAAAACAAGTTCAAGTTCATGACAGCCGAAATATGACCGTGAACATTGTTGTTGTTGTAAGTGCTGCCGTATGGGTTCTGACTCATACTGACCCTGTGTAGGGTTTCTGAAGACCTGCTGGTGAGTTTGAGCTGCTGACCTTGTGGTTTGCAGTCCAGTGCTGATCCTACAGTGTCACACTAGGAGCCAGACCTTGAACATTGTTGTTGTTGTTAAATGTGTTGAGTCAGCTCCTGTCATAATAAACCTGTTTAGGGTTTCTGAGGAGAGGCTGGTGAGTTTGAACCACCAACCTTGTGGTTCAAATTGACCCTGAGGTCAAGTGCTTATCCTATGGTACCACACCAGAACTCCACTTTGAACATACCTCACCTGAATTTAGAGACCACCTCAAGAATAGATTTAATGCATTCGATGCTAATGACCGAAGACTGTGGGATAACATGAAGAACATCATGCAGGCAGAAAGAAAAAGGCCATTAAAAAGACAGGAAATAAAGAAAAGACCAAAATGTATGTCAGAAGAGACTCTGAAACTTGCTTGAGACCTTAGTGAAGCTAAAGAGAATGGAAGAAATGAGGAGGTAAAATTAGAACAGATGTTTTCAAACGGCAGCTAGAGAAGACAAAGTAAATTATTATGAAGAAATGTGCACAGTCTGGAGTTGGAAAACCAAAAAGGAAGAAGACACTCAACATTTTTCAAGCTGAAAGAACTGAAGAAAACACTTGAGTCTTGACTTGAAATACTGAGGGATTCCATGGGGAACATATTGAATGATGCACAAAGTATCTAAAGAAAGTTGAAGGACTACATAGAGTTACTGTGTTCAGCCATTTCAAGAGGTAGTATATCATCAAGAACTGATGGTACTCAAGCTAGAAGTCCAAGCTGCATTGAAGGCATTGGCAAAAAACAAGACTTCTGGAATTGATGGAATACAAATTGAAATCTTTCAACAAACTGATGCAGCACTGGAGGCCCTCACTCATCTATGCCAAGAAATTTGTAAGACAGCTACCTGGCCAGCTGATTGAAAGAAATCCATATCTGTGCCCATTCCAAAGAGAGATGACTCAACTGAATGTGGAAATCATTGAACAATATTATTAATATTACATGCAAGTAAAATTTTGCTGAATAAAATTCAAAATGGTTATACGAACCTTGCTTGCTGAAAATGAAGAAGATTTAAAATACTTACTGAAGAAGATCAAAGATCACAGTCTCCAGTATGGACTGGCACCTCAAGGTAAAGAAAACAAAAATCTTCACCACTGGACTAATAAATAACATCATGATAAATGGAGAAAAGATTGAAGCTGTCAAAGACTTCATTTTTCTTGGATTCACTATCAACACTCATGAAATCAGAATCAAGAAGTCAAATGACGTATTGCATTAGATAAATCTGTTGCACAAGACCTCTTTAAAGTGTTCAAGAGAAAAGATACCAGTTTGAGGTCTAAGGTGAGCCTGATCCAAGCTATGGTATTTTCAACAGTCTCACAGGCATGTGACAGTTGGACAGTGAATGAGGTAGTGGGATTGCTGTTGTTCAGCTGTTCCAACTCATATAGGGTTTCAGAGGAGCAGCTGGTGGGTTTTAACCACCAACCTTGTGATAAGTGACCAGTGTGGTTAGTGGTCTTTTTTTTTTCACCTTTTCTTATACAAAACATTTAGATCCATCCAGGTTCCTAGGTTTTCATGTGTACCTAGGTTGGTGATTTAGACACACCAGCTGTCCTTTGGAAGCCCTCTACAGGATCACTATGAGTCCCAATCGACTTGGTGGTACAACAACAAAAACAACAACACTCACTTGTTAGGAGCTATTTCTCCAATAGAAGATCTTGGAGGACCTAAAGGGTTGTATGAAGTGTGTTATTCTGACATCTAGTGGCCACAC